GGTGGCTGCTCCGACCCTGGCAGTGTTTCAGGTCAGGTTGGATGAGGCCTTGAGCATCCTGGTCTAGTGGGAGGAGTCCCTGCCCAGGGCAGGGAGGGTTGAGACTAGATGATGTGTAAGGTCCATTCCAACTCCTAAAATTCTATGATTCTGTGCTTTAGAAGGTTTTATGTTCATTCTGAAAAACTGAGATATTTCCTAAACTAAGTAGAAAGGAAGTGTAAGCAGCACCCTGAGAGTGTTTGTTCAGGGACGAGATCTTCTGCAGTGAAAGATGCAAGACTGAACAGAGGTCCTTAATCCCAGGGACGGTGAAGGAAGAGATTGTAAACTGCAGAAGAGAAGTGTCTGGAGGAAGCGCAAGGGTGTCTGTCCATTTGCACATGGCTGCAATCCTGGTTTCAGGGGCAGCACTTCCAGGAACTGCTAAGAACCAGTATAATTGTAGATGTGTGAGGAATGAGTATGTGGTATACTGAAGGGCACCCTGTAGCCACCCTTAAGATTAAGACAGTTTGTTGGACACCTACCTACCGACATCTCGTAAGACTGGCTGCAAGATTCCCAGGTAAAAGGGGACAGACATGAGACTGGGAGGTTGCTGTAGTTTACCTGCTTCCCAGAGTACTTGTTACAAGCAGTTTTGATGCTGCCTTGAAGCCTGTTCTTAATACTCTTCAGTGTTAGAGATGTGAAACAGGATTTATACAATTTCCCAATCTGCCTGAATTTTATGGGACCATTTTTTGTCTGATTTTCCTCTTTTACACAGTGTCATTGCTATTGACTGTTATCTTTCTCTGGTTGAAGGTCTTCAAATGGTAATTCTTGTGCTAAGTCACGGTGCCTCCAGTTTCCTAGTGTGTTTATTGTGTGACTCACAGCTCTTTGACCCATGAGATTCATTTGTCCTTTTTATATGGGTTTTAATTTGATGTCAAAACCCATTATGCTTTCAAATACTTACAGTTCTGATAGTCAGAAGCCAAAAGTATTGATTTGCAATTGGCAGGAGGGTGTGTTTGCTTCAACTAGCAGTGCTTGTAAAGAATAGTTTCAGTTGCTTTATGCTAAGGAGTCCCCATGACCCCTTTTAAACCACCTTCATGTTGACTGCATGAAATAGTGTTTAGGCCAAACATTCTCCCACATATTTTCAAAGCTTTTACTGGTGTTTGCACTGATTTTTTTTCCCCTAAAACCCACAGCAGTATAGGGCTTCATTTGATGCTTTTTGCAAAGACTTTAAAAAGACTTCTAAATCCACTTCCATAAAATTGGAAGAGACCTTAAAGATAATCTAGTTCCAACCCCCTGCCATGGGTATGGAATCTTCCACTAGCCCAGGTTGCTCAGAGCTCCATCCAACCTGACCCTGAACACTTCCAGGGATGGGACATCCACAGCTACTCTAGGCAACCTGTTTCAGTGCCTCACCACCCTCATAGTAAAGAATTTCTTCCTAATGCCTAATCTTCTTAATCTAAACCTACCTTCTTTCAGTTTAAATTCATTATGTCTTGTCCTGTCAGTAAACATCCTTGTACAAAGCTCCTCTCCAGCTCTCTTTTAGCCCCTTCAGATACTAGGAGGTGCCATAAGGCCATCCCAGAGCCTTCTCGTCTCCAGGCTGAACCTACCTCTCTTAGCCTTCCCCCATAGGAGAGAGGTGCTCCATCCCTCTAATTGTCTTGGTGGCCTCCTCTGGATGTGCTCCAACAGGTCACTGTCCTTCTTGTGCTGGGGACCCCAGAGCTGGGTGCAGCACTCCAGGTGAGGTCTCACTAGAGTGGAGCTGGGAGGCAGAATCACCTCCCTCAACCTACTGGCCACTTTGTGTCTCAAACAGGCTTCCTTCTGGCCCAGTGTCCATGGGTGGTAACTTACCCATACACATTGTCCTGGTGTGTATGTGGATAGGTACATTTGAGCTTCTTAGGCTGTGAAGGGGAATAAAATCTGGCTCATGGCACTGAGTAATCTGGTTACTTAATCACTACATGTGACTCTGTGAATTATCATCTGTATTATGGGATAATATGATCTCTTTGGTATTCAGCACTGACTTTTCCAAGATTACCATACATATTATTATACAGAGCTAATATATTAAGAGATACCTTAAGGGTAATTATCAAGTGTGTAATTTCATCTGTACGTTCTTGTAATGATGGTTAATGCCATAAATGCCTTTTAATGAAATTATAGGCTTGTAACCCTGCCCAACTATCCTTTGTGTGTCATATAATTAGTAAGACCAAGCTTTGGTGTTGATCTCAGTGTCACAAAGCATCGTGTAAACTTCCATACTGATAGTATAGATGGTTAGTCTCCCATCAGAATAAGGTTGAGGCCAGGCAGCTCGAGTATATGTTACCTTATCTTTAAATGCAGCTGGATGGGCTTGTTAACAAAAGTACTTCTAACAGAATATATATGCTCATAAAAAAAAGTGGCCCTTGATCTAGTGTCTTATTATTGTACTACATCCAATATTTTAAGGGAGTGAAAAGGCAAGGGAGTTTCAGCACTTGGAATAAAGAATTGTTTTCCTTCTGATCCACTGAGGGTAGTGAAAATTTGTGTCCAAATGAAAACCATTTGGAGATGGACAAGAAGCTTCATCTTGTATTGAAGACACTTGCCTGGAATAAAACAGAGCTGGGATTGTTTCCCAGTCTGGCCTAATTTCTGTGGGGCTTTGGCTAAATTGATTATTTTTATGGTCATCAGATTTCCTGTCTGAAAAATAAGGGCTGTAATATTTCTTTTCTTTGTCTCACATTTCCAGATTTTAAACTTGCTGAAGCAAAGGAGTTAGCTATGTGTTATTTTGTTGGGTTTTTTCCTTTTATGATTGAATCTTATAGAATCAGTCACACTGGAGAAATCAAAGGTCATCTAATCCCAGCTCCTGCTCAGAGCAAGGGCAGTGCTGAACTTCTGCCCTCTAGGCTATTTTCTTATTGTGAATGCTCCTAAAGGAACAAGACATTTCACATGTCACCAGTGAAGGGTGGTTCTGAAAAATCACCTAAGACTCATTAAGATTATTTTACTGTTCTTATTCCTTCAGGGAATGATGTACCTGGAAGAGAGGAGACTTGTCCACCGGGACTTGGCAGCCCGTAACGTCTTGGTGAAATCGCCAAACCATGTGAAAATCACTGACTTCGGCTTGGCCAGACTTTTGGAAGGAGATGAAAAGGAGTATAATGCTGATGGAGGGAAGGTGAGTACTGAACATGTCTGGAAGTGAATCTGTCACACTGTGACAAACCTCTCGAAGTTACTCTTTAGGGCAGTGTATCCCTATGGGACTATTATCTATGTAAGAAAATCTGACAGTGACTTAGCAAAGCCTTGTCTTCTAGAAGAACTGTGTTGTGACAGCACACATAAAAGCTGCTCATTTTTGGCTCAGTGAGCTTCTCCAGGTGCTGATATATAATTGTACGAACAGTTTTCACACTCAGAAATTAGGTTTTCTCCATATGCTCCATTTTCTGTCTTGTTTTGAAGACTTCTGAAGACAGTTCAATGAGTGATGGATGTTGTAGAGCACTTCTGCCCAGCCCCTGTCTCTGGTCAGTATGCACCTCAATAACTTGCAGTCCCATTTTCCCAGACATGTAATTTTCCAGAAAACAAAATGGAAGGCCACAGAACATGTTTGCATTTGTAGCATAAGAGAGTTTATCCCTTGTCACACTGGGAGAACCTGTGTATGCTATGTCTTGCATTCACCTCTCCAATGTCATGCTGAATTCCAGGCCACTAAAAGCTAGCTTGAGGATAATATTGAAACCAGACATTTTCCTCTGTTATTTTCCAGCCTATCACACCACATCCATATAGTGCCTCACCTCATTTCTACTGCCTTCAGATTAATGCATTGTAAAATTCAGAAGGCTGTAAGTACATACTGCTGCTGGCTGCTCCCTAAGCATCTTGAAATTCCACATTTCAACCTGTCACAGAATCCCAAGGGATTCTTCCTCTCCTGTCATTCCTTTTCCTGGATGTTGTTTGCTTTCTGTCTACCTACTATCTGTGTTTTTTTCTGTGCTCAGTTGTGCCCTTGTCTGGGACAAACAGCTGTTGCCAGTGTGCTGTTCTCCTGGATGGGCTGCTGCTTTGTTCATGTGGCTGCTGCCCTTGGCATCTGCTGCATGGATTACATCAGCAGTTCACTCAGTGAGGTGAAGAGCTTGAGAGGAATCACTGGTGCTTTCCCATTTCCCCAGTGAAGAGAGCTCCTGGCTGGGATAGTGGAATTTTGGCAGTTTTCCCTGATTCCTTCAGTTCCCTAATCCTCTTTACAGTAACCCCTCTGCCTCTTCTCTCCATCAGCCAGTGAATGACAGAAAATGATCCTTGCAAACCAGCTGTTCCCTGGCAGCTGTGTCTTGGACTTGTGAGGCCAGTCACAACTCTGAGAGCTCTGAAGCAGTATTTACATGTCAGATGTATAACTTCCCAGTTCCAGAGAAGCATCATATGAAATCCACAAGACATTGGCAGCTTCAAGTTGTACTGAGAGCATGCTAAGGGGGATTCAAACTGGACACTCAAGCAGTTGATGGGGTTGCCTACAAAGGTGGTGCAGTTTCCATCCTTGAAGGTTTTCAAGTCCAGGCTGGATAAAACCCTGAGTACCTTGGTCTGATCTTGTAGCTGAACCTGCTGTTAGCCTGAAGTGGTACTAGAGGCATCCTGAGGTCACTTTCAACCTGGGTTATCCCATGATTAACATGACAACTTTGCTCCTTCAGGACTCAGCCATATTTAATGGAGATGAAAGTGATACACTTCTGCAGAGTTTAGTGGAGGAGGATGAACTGTCTTTGCAAGAGCTAAACCAACCTTTATTACAGGGTACTATTTTTGCCATAACTCTATAGGTTATGTTCATTAGTCAACTTCATGGAAAGTATTTTCATAAGGGTTTGAATGAAGACACATCCTCTGCCTTTACACCCACCATCTGTTCAGGTTTTGTCTGCAGTTACTTAACTCGATGGTTTATTCCAGTACATCTTCTATAGTTCTAAATTACAGGTGCCCCATACAAGTACCTGCCAGGTAAAAATCTGTTAAATGCTTGTCCATTAGAAATTCATGGACTGCAAGGCTGTGCCTGACAGCCCAGCTCAGGAATCTCATTTTAGCATGAACTCAAGAGGGCAGACTCTTATGCCAAACCAAGGTTTGGTTTACCTGCACACCCTTCACCGTCAGAAGAGATGAGCTTCCCTGAGGATGATTCACTGCCAGAGGCTAACATGGGACTTTTGACTTAGTTTTGGGTGCAGCTTTCCTCACTGCAGTACTGATACAGAGAAGTGGGACAGCTAAATTTCTGATGAATATTAGAAGTTAGAAATTAAGCACTGTAAATTCTCCCCATTACCTGTTTACCCTGATTCTGATGATGGGAACTGTGAAGTTTTAGGGATGCTGCATTATTAACTGGCCTCATTAGAGAGCAGTTGACATAGCAGTGTCTGGTGTTGCAAACTGTTGAAGCAAAAGAACTTCTGCATTCTACCTTGTCTGCTGCACTTCAGATATAGGGGAATCAGATGCAATTTTTTTATTGGTCTCATCTTTACACAGGTTTGATGAAAATGTGAGTTGCTCCACTACATCTGAATCAGTAAAACTGGGGGTGGTGTGAGAAGTTCTGCAGGTAACTGGTTGATCTTTCTCACCTCCACATGTTTTATGAGGCAAAGACCCATTCTAGCGGGCAAGAACAGCCATTTCCTCTGCTGAGTAGTGCTGCTTTTTTTCAAGCTTGCAGTTGAAAAAGGAAACAGTGAGGAAGCTGATGCCTTCAGACAGGATCTGTCTGTATTGTTTTATTCATGTATTTCTAAGGTTCCATTCTTCTTGTCTTT